AGATGCTATTTTCTAATCTTTTTATGGCAACTAAGAGGTACTTACAACAATTATAATACAAACTGGCCCATAAAAGCTCCAGATGAAGCCATCGTCAATGTTGAGCCAACAGCTAAAGAAAAACAAAAACCGAATTACATCACAAACAGCTTGAAAATTGTGAATACAGGACATCTGTCTAAAACTCACTAGTTCGGGGTGCCATATCCGCTTGCATTCACTGAGGCCGAAATGGCAACGATAAGAGCAGGAACTCCATAACCGGCAGCAAACATGTAGACGTGTCTCAGTGTGGTGTTGAAAACCAGCACCACCATGCGGAAGAGCTGCACTCCTTCCAGACACATCCAGCAGAAAGAAGCCAGGAAGAAGTAATGCAGAACACCTGCAACCACTGAACAGCCCACCTGCACCACAAAAAGAGGTTTACTAAACTTCAGACTGGTGAAGAGTCATTCTTGAGTGATTTGTTCTTTTTGAACGAATCTTCAAGGTGACTCAGGAGCAACAAGTCATCAGGTTTTTAGTATCAAATAAACATCACGTCCAATGGGCAGCGTATTGTGGATATTATCGGCTGTTAGAGTGAGCACGGATAAGTAGCATGGAAAAGTAGGCAACCCATGTAACTTTGGAAACTCACTGAAATATACTATGATTTGTGACACCATAGCTGCATCCCAATTTGTGAAGGGTCCAGCTGCAGACTGGGCGCAGTTGCAAACTGAGACTAGATACAATGCTTTTAATGTATGCACAAAACCCCGTCTCTAAGCCTACACCTCACAGTGAGGTCACTAGCTTCATTCAGCGCATTGTGTTTAAGACAGTAGTTCTTATTTCTTAAAATGAGGACCTTTTTGCAGTTATTCACCTCATTTTCTATTTAATTATGAGATTAAAATATTGCATGTTAGTGACATTTTAAGCACTATTTTTAGCTGGATTAGCTTGTCGGATGGTCGTCATAACCACACTTTTTAATGTACCTAAATATTTCCTAAAGATGAAGAATAAAGAAGTATAAATAAATATATTTTTATATTTATTATTTTTATATTTATTTTATTTTTATATTTATATTTTTTAAATTAAAATTACAATATATATTAATCTAAAAAATAGGAATCTGTTAAAGTTTTAAATTAAAACTGTAATCTATTTACATTTATTAGGCAAATAACAAACTGGCCAGCACATTCAAGTGTCAAGAGTCAGAATTTGGCCATTTTAATAATAATAAAAATATATTATTATTATTATTATTATTATTATTATCATTATTATTATCATTATTATTATCATTATTATTAATAATAATAATAATAATAATAATAATAATAATAATAATAATAATAATAATAATAATAATAATAATAATAATACGAGTTTTACATTTGTTTAGCCTCTCTTGTAAAGAAAAAAAAATCATGGAAAACAACAATAGTCAAAATAATATTCAAATCAATTTCAATATTGTTTGTTTTTGTTGCTTCACACCTTTTTATATGTAATTTTTGGAGAAAAAGGTTCATTGTTAGACTCATGAAAAATAATTGTTTGCATTGACCAAAACTGATTAGCTGAAGTCACGAAGAGGATTCGTGTAAAAGTGTTTTTTGATGGGTTATTTTTACTATTAAGGATGGTGTAGTAGTCAAATAGGACAAATGAGGTCATGTATGGGACAAATTCTGGACCTTTGTCAGTGAGGGATGAGTCTTTCGAACCACCCGAACCCCCCCTGGCTACGGGCCTGTGAGATTGCACCTCTTAGCTTGCATGTTCAAGCTTGAATCTAGATATTATTGTCTGATTGCATATTATCTATCCTAAATAGTATTTGGAATAGTAATTCGAATTAGTATGTTCCAAACACAGTTTGCTGAAATGTTTTTTTTTTTTAGTTATCCAGATGGTCTGAAAGTCCTGGAAGAAAATCAAAGTGCAGATCTAATGGTTAATATTTCCCACAGTGCATTGGTGTTGGACGTGAATTCATTGCATATGTGAATTCAATTAGAACTATAAGCATGGTAAAAAGTCAGCATGAGATGGACGTTAAGGTTGTCCCTTTTACCCCTATTGTGATGTACAGTTGAAGTCAGAATTATTAGCCCCCTTTTAATTTTTTTTCTTCTTTTTAAAATATTTTCCAAATGATGTTTAACAGAGCAAGGACATTTTCACAGTATGTCAGACAATATTTTTTCTTCTGGAGAAAGTCTTAAGTCTTGTTTTATTTCGGCTAGAATAAAAGCAGTTTTTAGTTGTTTTAAACATTTTAAGGACAAAATTATTAGCCCCTTTAAGCTATATATTTTTTTCTCGATAGTCTACAGAACAAACCATTGTTATACAATAACTTGCCTAATTACCCTAACCTGCCTAGCTAACCTATTAACCTAGTTAAGCCTTTAAATGTCACATTAAGCTGTATAGAAGTGTCTTGAAAAATATCTAGTCTAATATTATTTACTGTCATCATGACAAAGAGAAAATAAATCAGTTATTAGAGATGAGTTATTAAAACTATTATGATTAGAAATGTGTTGAAGAAATCTGCTCTCCGTTAAACAGAAATTGGGGAAAAAAATAAACAAGCGGTCTAGTTATTCAGGGGGGCTAATAATTCTGACTTCAACTGTATTTCCAGTTGAAATGGTCTTGAAATGAGAAAAAAAAAAAGAATATAGGAGCATATTTGGTCATTTAGGAACCAATTTGTTCATTAGAAGATGGGTGTTGCAAACAGAATTGTGGAAGATTGGCGTAAGAATAAAAGCAGAAAAAACTGCACTGATAGCCCTGCCCTATAGTTATTCCATGTAACCAAAAGTCATTTAATTTGGTTAGAGCGGGAAGGGGAGTCTATGCTATTTGATTAAAGATTCAAAACAATGAAGTGCTCAGATACATGTTTTATAACAAGCACCCCTATATACATATGAAAATAAAAAAAGTAAAATTTTGATTTCATGCCAACTTTAAAGATCCCATGAAATCAAAATAATCTTTTAGCATCAATATTGTATCAGTATTGTTGGTTTTTAGGATATCTATAAGCTAGCGCTCACTAAAACAGTGACACAATCCAAACTTAGGATATATAAAACTGATATAAATATTTAAAGTTTGTAGTCTGTCACTTCTGCTTAAATAGATCAACGGTTTTATTCACATAACCTCATACTTCACTCATGAAATCATGACCAATCAAATACTCTCTAGTACCTAACATGTCCCGCCCACTTCAAGACCCATCTCCTTGATGCGCTTGTGATCAACCACTACTGGCAGAGCAGTGAAAAAAACAAAATGCTATTAGCTGTTTTTTTTAAAGGGGAGGGGCTACAATATGTTCCACCCTCTCTTCATGTTTCACTGAGTTTTCGTCAAACATCAAATAAAAATGCACATTTCAAAGCACTTCATGGGACATACAAACATAGTGGATGCATGAGACCAACAGTTAAGTGGAGAGGTAAGGTAAAGGTGTTGAAATGATTGTTAGATAACATTTAAGATATTGGAAAACAGTAGCTTTTGTTACACACTTCATGATGTGAATCAGGAAGCAGCACCAGACAAGTGAACACACAACGGTCATACTAATTTACCTTATTCTCAGTGCGGGTGATTCCCACGAGGAACACAAAGTATGCGATGAAGAGGCTGATGCACAGGTGCATGTGGATGGTGTTGCGTGTGCTCTGGATGGATCGCACCGCGTAAAATGTGATAATGCAGATGAGGAGGCAGACCAGAGACAGAGACAGTCCAACCCATGAGATCAGACGCAGCTCGTACACGTCCTGGTTAAGAGAGCAATTTAAGATGAATAGATTTAAGAAACTCGTACCATTTTTAAACAATGAAGGATGCGAATATAACAGAAGCATGTCTTTAATGTGCATGCTATGTGCAGTGTTTGCTGTGTGAAATATTAGTAACTGAAATATATCTAACTATTTGTATTTTTCAAAACATTTGCATATGCGCTTTTAATTGATATTGCGCTGCTTTGTTTATTTACCAATATGAACTTGAAAAAAGCTGTCGTTTTACAGTTTAAGGAGACAATAAGAACAGAAAATAGCAATCACTCAGTTATGGCATCATTAAAATATGTCTTTGTTTATTTCTAATACAGGGGTTTTCAAACTTTTTCAGCTGAGGGCCCCTTTGTGTTGGGCGAATTCTTTTGGGGACCCCCAAAAAATAAAAATGACGTCAAAAAAAAAAAAAACCTTAAAATAACAACTGTACTTAAAAAATGTTTAATTGAATTATTCAATACATTTATATTATTATATATTATTCAATACATTTATATTATTCATTATCTGGATTAATTTTTGTAAGATGTCAGTTGAGTTGACATGGTTACAGTGCTTCAATCTATTGATCAAATCTTCATGCGCAGTGTTCATTGTGGTCTGCTCTCATTGGATTCCATCAAGACATATTTTGTGTACGAGTCGTCACTTTACACAGTTTTTTATGCCATATTTATGCTTTTTTTCTGTCTATGCACAGCTAGACTCTTCTGTATTTACCCTTACAGCTGAGAATCTAAATGTATCTAAAGATTTAAAGCTTTGAAGTTTTAAAGAGTTTTGTCAGTCATCAGCCTGTTAATGGTTAACAATTAATTGTACCGTGGTAACTAGCAATACTACAATGGAGGCTGTAGTGGTTCAGTGTGTTGAAGTATTGTTTATTTTTATTCCCTTTTTTTGTGCACATCATAATTTACTCAAGTCGACAATCCTGACTTACACTGATAAAAAATAATTTCCTAAATGCAATCTAGAATTGGGTATTCAAGTTCATAGAGCCAAGTTTTACTTTGCATAATTTTAGAAGCTTTGCTGACTTTAAAATGTCCATACCAGTTTGTTCTATTAATAATAATACTGAACATTACATTTAAATTAGTTTCACAAATAAATATGGGAAAAAGTGGAACATCTTGAAAAAATGCATTTACATTTAGAGTATTAAAGTTTGATCAGATATGTTGAGCTTCATTAAATACAGAGCACTAATACATTTTAATATTTAATAATTAATTAGCTCTATAATATAACACAAACAGATACATTATAATTTTTATAGGTTATAGTGGTTTTACTCAGGGTGTATAAATTTAGTTATTTTAATCATTATGAACCAATATGTGTAAGGGGTCCACTGCAGAGCTCATCCAGCTGTCATTAGTGTAACAGGAGTGAAACTCTGAGAACTCGCTCATGTGATGACAGCTCCATTCATTGTTATTGCAGCACTTTTTGCTTTTCAATTTTAATATGTTTGTTTGCCGTGCTGCAAATAGGACCGTCTGATATTTGTACAATGCAAAGTGTAAAGCCTGTCACACTGTGAACGAGGTGCAATGTTGTGCCGTGTCTTTAAAATGCTATTTGTTTCCTATGAGTGAAGCCTGCGCAGAGAGGCGCGCACTCCGCAGCACCCAGCTAATCGGTTACTTAGGAACGCAAGCCATATACAGGGTAGTGCTTTCAGCCACCGATAATGTTCTTATTGATCATGTATTTTAACTGAAATATTGTCAGTTAAATAGACCTGAGCATTCATTTAGCTGTATAAGCGTAAAAGAGATCAGCGCAAGTGAAAGGTAAACGCTGTCAGGTGCAGGAGACAAGCGCCAAAAATCACAGGAAGCGCCTGGCCAGAAGCGCTTAATCAATAAAAGTCCCTGTGCACAGAGGCGGGCCGCTGCGCTTCTTTTCCTGTGTCACGAAAGTGTCAACTGCATTTAAATGACATAAGCATAAAGCTTAATTTTTGCAGTACTTTTGAGCTCAAATTATAATGAAGAAATACATTAACCTTTAGAATGATGCGGGACACAAAATTCATCCATGTGGGCCCATTGATTACCCCTCATCTAAAATTTCTTTGCGGCCCCCCTAGCGCAATCTGGCGGCCCCCCTAGGGGCCCGCGGCCCCCAGTTTGAAAACCCCTGTTCTAATACATGCACTCTAGTGGTGAAAATTACATACTGCACCTTGAGTTTTATTTTCAGTATTTTTTTCTTTAAACTTGATTTATTTAGATGTAACAAGTCGAAGCAATTAATTTAAGTTGTTTCAAATTTTATTTTTGTTTCAGTGTAAGTATCACTTTCTGAATCAAGTAATGACTCATGGTATATAACCCATAAATAGTTTGCAACTTGCAGGCCTTTAGATGATTGTTTCTGAAAATGCATAAAATGCATTCATCTTTCTAACTAATTATTATTTTTTGTTTAAGGAACATGTGGTAAAATATTTTATTCTCAGAAGTATCACTTCTGTGATGAGGTGAAGATCAGAAGTTGTGGTCACAGATGGTTAATACGAACCCCAATGTCATAGAGAGCCATAAGCACAGCGAAGCTGCTGAGGTGAGAACAGGAGCAGATCGTCTCATCAGCAGTGGACCTCACTGTGGAGCAGTTACGGGTCGACCAGGCACCCCCATCCAAATCATGATCCCAAAACACACAAATGTGATTCACATTCTCTTTCTAAGAGGAACATACACATAAGTTCATGATGAATCACACTGGTGTAAGATTTGTATGTAGTACACTACAAATTATGTCATACCTTCAAGTGCGAAAACGTGAAATTTACTGGTTTCTCCAGGTTGGCAGTGTCTTCATTGCTAACAGTGGCAGTTACTATTTCTGAATTGATTTTGAATGTTTGCTTTTCTTGTTTCTCTAAATGGTTAAAATAGCGGCTGAGTGATTCTTCCAGACCTGTGTAGCTGAGGAGAGCCACTGTTGAAAAGCCTGGTTGATGCAAAAAGACATAAAACATTTGTATTATATTGTGCTGAACAAATCTTTATTATGTTGGTTTGAGAAAGCAACTACTTAGAACACCCTAGCAACTGCATAGCAACCACCCAGTACCAACAAAGAACACACAACAGGGATGCCCAAACTCTTGGAGGGCCGGTGTCCTGCAACGTTTTGTTCAAACCCCAATCAGGCACACCTGGGTTAGCTAATCAAGCTCTAGGCATTAAGACCTAAAAACATCTGTGCAGGTGTGTTGAGGCAAGTTGGAGCTAAAATCTGCAGGACACCGGCCCTCCAGGACCCAGTTTGGACACCCCTGGCATAGAATCACCAAGAGGAGACACTCTGTTGCTATTTGGGAGCTAGTGTTAGGTGGCGGCCATTTTGTACAGCATGGATAACTAATGTTAGAAAGAATTAATTAAAATATTGAGTTGAAGATGAGTTAAAGTATTAAATATTCATACACCCCATTCAATATATATATATATATATATATATATATATATATATATATATATATATATATATATATATATATATATATGATGACTTTTTGTGTCAGAATTCAATTATTTTGGGGAAAGTGGTGTGGCTTTTTACATAAAAGCGTTATTAGTCTTTCTTTAACAGACAATATTGGAAAAATACAATATAATATAACATATAGTACTGCAACAAAAAGTGTACTATCAGTCTGTTATCAACATCCCATTTTGAAAGTCATGTTAATTAAATTTAAGATTTCAGTATTAATTCATATTAAGCCAGTGCGTAAACTAATACATTAAAGCAATTTAAAGTAATTACAACTAAAAGTGACAGTTAAAAAAATAAGTCTGTGAAATAAACTCTTAAAAGTGCTGATGATCACCAGTACGTATTGTATTGTCATCTTTCAGGTTGGATTTCAGCTTTATTGCAATTTAAAAAAAAAAATAAACAAAAAACAAAGCAGCTTCTAGCCATTACAGCAATAAACTCCAATAGATGGCTGATTGCTTTCACTCCAAAATGGCGGCATTGTGGGGCTGTTGTTGGGCGTTGCTGTTGCAATGGAATGTTGTGAGTGTCACCTCTTGGTGATGCTAAGCTCTTTGGTACGGCACAGCAAAATGCTAGCAGCACCCTAGCAACTATCCAGATAACCATAGCAACCACATTGAATACCCTAGAAACCACCTAGAATACTATAGCAGTGCTCTTATAAATGTCTCTCAACTAAACTCTAGTGGAAAAAAGACACAAGACACTATGTAGACACACACCTGTGGCAGCAGTAGTAGACCTTAGCAAATGCCTAGTAACCTTTCAGAACACACACAACAGACTAGCAACACCTTGCAACCATCCAAATAACCATGGCCTACCCTAACTACTACCTAGCAACCACCTATAATACCCTTACAACTGCCTAGAAACCACCTTGAATCATCTAGACCAGGGGTGCCCAAACTCAGTCCTCGAGGGCCGGTGTCCTGCTGAGTATAGCTCCAACTTGCCTCAACACACCTGCACACTGCAAAAAAATGCTTTTCTTACTTAGATTTTTTGTCTTGTTACGAGTTTTTCCTTAAAACAAGCAAAATTATCTACCAATGGAGTAAGCAAATTAATCTTATGTCAAAAGGAAAAACAAAATTATTTTGCTTATCCCATTGGCAGATTATTTTGCTTGTTTTAAGGAAAAACTCACTTAATATTGGCATATTATTTCTCAAAACAAAACTATATGTTTTGCTTTTCTGGAAAATTCTTCTTGATTTGAGAATTTTTAGATATTTGGACTCGAAACAAGACAAAAAATCTAAGTAAGAAAAGCATTTTTTTTTTGCAGTGGGGATGTTTCTAGAAAGCCTAGTAAAGAGCTTGATAGCTAGTCTAGGTGTGTTTGATTTTGCTTGGAACTAAGCTTTGCAGGACATCGGCCTTTCAGGACCGAGTTTGGGCACTCCTGATCAAGACCAAGCCTAGCAATACCCTAAAGCATCTAGCCTCTACTTTGAACATTCTAGCAATTTTACCCTAGCAACAGCAGAGCAACTATCCAGCTTACCATAGTAACAACATAAACCCCCCCTGACATAATATCAGATAATATTCTAGCAACAGATTAGCAACACTATACCCTACTGAAAAAAAAAAAAAAAAAAAAAAAACAGGCTGGTTTTAAAGGGGCTTTGCCCATTTCCAGGCTGGTTTACAGCCATTTTCAGCCTGGTCTTAGCTGGTCAGGCTGGGAGACCACCTGGCTGGAAATGGCTGGAAACCAGCCTGGAAGTGGCCAAAACCCCTCTAAAACCAGCCTGGTTGACCAGCTAAAACCAGTCAACCAGCTTAGGCTGGTTTAAGCTATTTTTTCAGCAGGGTAGGAACCACTCAAAACACCCTAGGAAAGCCCTAGCACCAATTCACAATCCCCTAGGTTTGTGTGATTTCACCAAGTAGGACATGTACTGTAAGTGGATTAAAATCTATGTTGATACTAAAAAAACATCTTAATCAGCAAATCAAATTTAAGAGATAAGTTAAAAGAGCTCCTATTAGGCATTAAAAAAGCTCATATTTTGGTTTTGGGAATATCCAACAACAGGCTGATATGCATGCAAGGTCAAAAAAAACACTTACATTACCTTATAATATGCATTTTTTTTTACTTAATTATACCAATGACCCTATATGATCCATATATGATCCGTTCAGAGATTCATTTATTCCCAACCCTCTCCTTAGTGCAATGCTAATCTGCGCTGATTGGACAGATGACCCAGTTTGTTGTGATTGGTCGACTGCATTCAGCATGAGACAGAGGGAAATACCCACCACGGTTGATACATTTTGAAGAAGTTAGGGTGCAGAGTATATGTGTGAGGCCAATGTAGGAGAGCATTAAAGCAATGCAGTTAAACACCAGCATACTGCTCTATTTCTAATCATAAGTAAAAACAACAACACACATTCAGTATTAATCCACACAGTGGCAAAAGCTGAACTATTTTGAAACTTAACTGCCGCACATGTGTAGGAACAGCTAATGGTGGCCATAGCAATGACAAACGGCAGAGTTTTGCAAGCTTACAAACACATTTAAATCCGTGAACAAATTGGCGCACATTGCATGTACAATGTGGCTTTAGACACGATATGAGAACATAAAGAGTTAACCAGATACAGTACATGTGGTAACAAGTAACAAAAACAATAAAATACATAATAAAACAAGTAGGCACTTTTAGTCGCACTTACTTACACTTGTGAAACGGAGGAAGGAACTGATCCATGAACTGTGTACTGTAAAGTTTCTGTCAAGCTCTGACAAAGTCCCATACATCAATAGTCTTTTCTGATCCCTCCTCTAACAAATGGCCGATGAACCCCCCTTTGTAAGCATGTATATTCCAGAAGCACTCATCAGAAAAGTGAGCACAAGCATTGTTATGGATAAAATACGGTAAATCTAATAGTTTAATAAAACAAATTAGTTTTTTGGAAATCGCCAAGCAACCCGGTTGGGGGATCCCGACCCCAACTTTGGGAACCACTGGTCTAGTATGTGATACAAGTTCAGAGACTGTACTGTACACCCTGATTTTGTAAGAAAGGCAACAACTTTAATGTGTGACACGAAAATAGTATTTTATTTGACAACTTAAATTGCATATACAACTGATAATCTCCTCTTATTCTGGGAATATATGTAAAGTTGGGATTAGGGTTTGGGATAGGGATTAGATATGGATTAAATTTTCAAATAGAAATTATGTTTCAGGATCAACTTAAAGGTTAAACCAGGATTGCATTCTACTTGGCAAAATCACACCCACTAAATGCCCTAGCTCCTGTCTAGCAAACCCCAACCACCTATATTACCCTAAAAGAATAGCAACACCACTCTAGCATCTTCTTAGCCACAACCCAGACCACTTTGGCAACTACTAAGAAACAGCCTCGCAACACCCTAGCAACTGTCCCCCAGGAACACATTTACAACTTTCAAACAGGTTTGGCTTTTTCAAACCAACATCACAGTTTGTTTTTTAAACTTTACAGTAGTTTTAAATATACTCAGTAATTTCAATTAACAATTTATACCCATGTATTCTTTTCCTGTTGCTGTGTCCCAGTGGGAAGTAAACCATGTGCCATTGCTGGATACCATGAAACGACCTCCAGGTGGAGTACTGTTCCTCTTAACCAACAGCTCCACATCTGAAAATGAAATAAGAAGAAGAAAAAGAAGAGGAAAAAGAAGAAGAAAAACACATTATGAGTGTAAAAATTGTTTCTGTGAAGCATATGAAGTGTGATATTTGTTGTTGAAGTGTTTTTGTTTGGTTTGCTTTTTTACCAGATCTAGTGGTTGACCTCTTGGTTTGGCTGCTTGGCAGCATAAGTCCTATCAGTTTAAGCATGCTTTCCACAATACTAAACACCGCTGAGGCTTTCTTGTTATCCAACTGATCATTATTCTGAAGCAGACCGTCTAGAGCACTGAGAAATTCCTATAAAGAAATGGGTAAAATCAGACATTGTTGTTTATTCAGTTATACTGTAGACAATAAGTACACATCTTTGCATAGCCTGTTGTGATTTTGCAATAAAAATTGGTTTACTGAGTGTCACCTCTAAAAGCTTTTCTCCATTTTGAATTTTATTCTGTTTTAGTGCCTCACAGCTGCTGTTCATCAAGAAGACAAGTTCTGCCAGCTCTGGATTAGCAGCCTACACAGACAACCGAGAAAAGCAGAGATCAGTATTCAGGTTGATCTTGAATGACTGTAATGTTCTACATCAGTATTTTAGTAAATGTCTAGTCAGTCTAGTCATGCAGTACCTCAAATGCAGTGATCTTCTTTTTAAATATCTCATAATTAAACTCTGAAAAAACAAAAAAATCTGACATTTAATTAATTAGTGAGGGACTGTAGAGGCACAAAGCACTAAACTTAACAAAACTATTAAAATGTCACAATTTGATAATTTTTTTGGTAATTAAGCAAACCAATTACCATCACACTGAACTGTCCGATTATTGTTATTAGCCCCTCTTTAATTTTTTTTAATTTTTTAAATATTTCCCAAATTATGTTTAACAGAGCAATGAAATTTTCACAGTATGTCTGATAATATTTTTTTTGTTCTGGAAAAAGTCTTATTTGTTTTATTTTGGCTAGAATAAAAATAGTTTTTTTTAATTTTTTAAACTCCATTTTAGGGACAAACTTATTAGCCCCTATAAGCTATATTTTGTTTTGATAGTCTACAGACCAAACCATTGTTATACAAAAACTTGATTGTTATACAACTTTTGAAATATCATAATTTGATTAAAACAATTCTGGTAATTAAGCAAATTTAGCTGAGAAGAACATTCAAATAAAACTGTTTCTTACCAACACACTGAACTCCTTGTCCTACAGTAAATGTCTCCTTTCCACTGCTGGAAACGTAGCCAGATTTACATTTGCAGGCATAACCTCCTTGACTATTGACACATTCTGCATTTCCCCCACAATTAATGCTGGTATTCACACATTCATTGGTGTCTGAAATGAGATATATGGAGATTCAGATGCTATTTCTGCAGCACAGATGCCATAAATGTATCACATCAAAATTTTTAGCATTAATTCAGATTCACTTCATTCAAAAGTGGCATTTTACCTAATATTTTATAACTTACATTTTACACTGTATTGTAAGTTTAGTTTATTGTTTATTTTGCTCAGCCAATGAAGAATGAATGTTTTACCATTTCTAACCGTGGCATGTCTTTCCTGAATGCATTCTTGTTTTAAAACAAAATGGTTAAATAAACCATTCAATGACTCCCTCATAACTGTTTGTCCAACAACAGGCTGATATGCATGCAAGGTCAAAAAAAACACTTACATTACCTTATAATATGCATTTTTTTTTACTTAATTATACCAATGACCCTATATGATCCATATATGATCCGTTCAGAGATTCATTTATTCCCAACCCTCTCCTTAGTGCAATGCTAATCTGCGCTGATTGGACAGATGACCCAGTTTGTTGTGATTGGTCGACTGCATTCAGCATGAGACAGAGGGAAATACCCACCACGGTTGATACATTTTGAAGAAGTTAGGGTGCAGAGTATATGTGTGAGGCCAATGTAGGAGAGCATTAAAGCAATGCAGTTAAACACCAGCATACTGCTCTATTTCTAATCATAAGTAAAAACAACAACACACATTCAGTATTAATCCACACAGTGGCAAAAGCTGAACTATTTTGAAACTTAACTGCCGCACATGTGTAGGAACAGCTAATGGTGGCCATAGCAATGACAAACGGCAGAGTTTTGCAAGCTTACAAACACATTTAAATCCGTGAACAAATTGGCGCACATTGCATGTACAATGTGGCTTTAGACACGATATGAGAACATAAAGAGTTAACCAGATACAGTACATGTGGTAACAAGTAACAAAAACAATAAAATACATAATAAAACAAGTAGGCACTTTTAGTCGCACTTACTTACACTTGTGAAACGGAGGAAGGAACTGATCCATGAACTGTGTACTGTAAAGTTTCTGTCAAGCTCTGACAAAGTCCCATACATCAATAGTCTTTTCTGATCCCTCCTCTAACAAATGGCCGATGAACCCCCCTTTGTAAGCATGTATATTCCAGAAGCACTCATCAGAAAAGTGAGCACAAGCATTGTTATGGATAAAATACGGTAAATCTAATAGTTTAATAAAACAAATTAGTTTTTTGGAAATCGCCAAGCAACCCGGTTGGGGGATCCCGACCCCAACTTTGGGAACCACTGGTCTAGTATGTGATACAAGTTCAGAGACTGTACTGTACACCCTGATTTTGTAAGAAAGGCAACAACTTTAATGTGTGACACGAAAATAGTATTTTATTTGACAACTTAAATTGCATATACAACTGATAATCTCCTCTTATTCTGGGAATATATGTAAAGTTGGGATTAGGGTTTGGGATAGGGATTAGATATGGATTAAATTTTCAAATAGAAATTATGTTTCAGGATCAACTTAAAGGTTAAACCAGGATTGCATTCTACTTGGCAAAATCACACCCACTAAATGCCCTAGCTCCTGTCTAGCAAACCCCAACCACCTATATTACCCTAAAAGAATAGCAACACCACTCTAGCATCTTCTTAGCCACAACCCAGACCACTTTGGCAACTACTAAGAAACAGCCTCGCAACACCCTAGCAACTGTCCCCCAGGAACACATTTACAACTTTCAAACAGGTTTGGCTTTTTCAAACCAACATCACAGTTTGTTTTTTAAACTTTACAGTAGTTTTAAATATACTCAGTAATTTCAATTAACAATTTATACCCATGTATTCTTTTCCTGTTGCTGTGTCCCAGTGGGAAGTAAACCATGTGCCATTGCTGGATACCATGAAACGACCTCCAGGTGGAGTACTGTTCCTCTTAACCAACAGCTCCACATCTGAAAATGAAATAAGAAGAAGAAAAAGAAGAGGAAAAAGAAGAAGAAAAACACATTATGAGTGTAAAAATTGTTTCTGTGAAGCATATGAAGTGTGATATTTGTTGTTGAAGTGTTTTTGTTTGGTTTGCTTTTTTACCAGATCTAGTGGTTGACCTCTTGGTTTGGCTGCTTGGCAGCATAAGTCCTATCAGTTTAAGCATGCTTTCCACAATACTAAACACCGCTGAGGCTTTCTTGTTATCCAACTGATCATTATTCTGAAGCAGACCGTCTAGAGCACTGAGAAATTCCTATAAAGAAATGGGTAAAATCAGACATTGTTGTTTATTCAGTTATACTGTAGACAATAAGTACACATCTTTGCATAGCCTGTTGTGATTTTGCAATAAAAATTGGTTTACTGAGTGTCACCTCTAAAAGCTTTTCTCCATTTTGAATTTTATTCTGTTTTAGTGCCTCACAGCTGCTGTTCATCAAGAAGACAAGTTCTGCCAGCTCTGGATTAGCAGCCTACACAGACAACCGAGAAAAGCAGAGATCAGTATTCAGGTTGATCTTGAATGACTGTAATGTTCTACATCAGTATTTTAGTAAATGTCTAGTCAGTCTAGTCATGCAGTACCTCAAATGCAGTGATCTTCTTTTTAAATATCTCATAATTAAACTCTGAAAAAACAAAAAAATCTGACATTTAATTAATTAGTGAGGGACTGTAGAGGCACAAAGCACTAAACTTAACAAAACTATTAAAATGTCACAATTTGATAATTTTTTTGGTAATTAAGCAAACCAATTACCATCACACTGAACTGTCCGATTATTGTTATTAGCCCCTCTTTAATTTTTTTTAATTTTTTAAATATTTCCCAAATTATGTTTAACAGAGCAATGAAATTTTCACAGTATGTCTGATAATATTTTTTTTGTTCTGGAAAAAGTCTTATTTGTTTTATTTTGGCTAGAATAAAAATAGTTTTTTTTAATTTTTTAAACTCCATTTTAGGGACAAACTTATTAGCCCCTATAAGCTATATTTTGTTTTGATAGTCTACAGACCAAACCATTGTTATACAAAAACTTGATTGTTATACAACTTTTGAAATATCATAATTTGATTAAAACAATTCTGGTAATTAAGCAAATTTAGCTGAGAAGAACATTCAAATAAAACTGTTTCTTACCAACACACTGAACTCCTTGTCCTACAGTAAATGTCTCCTTTCCACTGCTGGAAACGTAGCCAGATTTACATTTGCAGGCATAACCTCCTTGACTATTGACACATTCTGCATTTCCCCCACAATTAATGCTGGTATTCACACATTCATTGGTGTCTGAAATGAGATATATGGAGATTCAGATGCTATTTCTGCAGCACAGATGCCATAAATGTATCACATCAAAATTTTTAGCATTAATTCAGATTCACTTCATTCAAAAGTGGCATTTTACCTAATATTTTATAACTTACATTTTACACTGTATTGTAAGTTTAGTTTATTGTTTATTTTGCTCAGCCAATGAAGAATGAATGTTTTACCATTTCTAACCGTGGCATGTCTTTCCTGAATGCATTCTTGTTTTAAAACAAAATGGTTAAATAAACCATTCAATGACTCCCTCATAACTGTTTGTTGCCACCTACTGGTGGATTAATATAACCTGCTGAAAGAGTCACTGAAAAACACAGGCCATATTTATATTACATGGTTTTAAGTGACCCAATTACAGTTTTACCCACATGTAGAACAAATCAGATATAATATGCAGGATAGAAAAATAAGATGGCTAAAATCTCTGATCGAGTTTAGGCCCTATTAATAGAGAGAAATAAATAATATATGGATTGAATAAATAATTAATGTCTGGTAAGCAGACAGATGGTATTTAACTGTTGTGAGTCATATTAAGTAACTTACATTTTACCTTGTCTAATGTTACTCCATTCAATATGTTTTCGAATTTTAAATTAACTATTCAATGACTCTATCATAATAGTTTGTCACTCACCACCTAATGCTGGATTAATATAATTACCAGAAAAAGTCACTGAAAAATTCTCTATTAATGCACAAACTGACTTACTGCACAATCAGCAAGGAACAGCAACCACAGGGACTCTGATATTTTCTGTTTAGTTTTAGGCCCATTCATTAATTTATTCATTTTCTTTGGCTTAGTCTCTTTATTAATCTGGGGTCTCCACAGCGGAATGAACCGCCAACTTGTACAGCACATGTTTTATGCAGCAGATGCCCTTCCAGCTGCAACCTCTCTGCAAATCTCTGGGAAACATCCATGCACACTCATTCACACTCATACACTACGGACAATTTAGCTTAGGCAATTCACCTGTACCTCATGTCTTTGGACTGTGGGGGAAACCGGAGCACCCAGAGGAAACCCACACAAACATGGGGGGAACATGCAAACTTCACACAGAAATGCCAACTGACCTAGCCGAGGCTCGAACCAGCAACCTTCTTGCTGTGAGGTGACAACACTACCTAAAGCGCCACCGTGTTGCCTAGGCCCTTTCATATTTAGAAATAAATCAGACCTGAATTGAATGTCAGTCACTAGGAAAATAGACAGATCAGATATTTCAATGTCAATGTGGGTCATAACTGAAAAAGCACCATTGATGAAACATTATTTTCAGCCTTATCAGTACATTTATTTATTTGCCAAATGCAGATATAGGATTTATTAGAAGATTTAAGCTGGTCATCAAAGAAACTGTAGAACCTTTCTATTCAAGTGTCTTACTCTAACTGTTTAGAACAATTTTTCCAAAGTGTGTGGTTCAGTGATCCAACTACAAATTTCCCCTCCTGTTTAGCACATATCCGTTATACCCCCCCAAAATCGATTCTAATATGAAAAGAATACAGTTAAAATCAGAATTATTAGCCCCTCTTTGAATTTTTTTTCCTTTTTAAAATTTTCCCAAATGATGTTTAACAGAGCAAGGAAATTTTCACAGTATGTCTTATAATATATATATATATATATATTTTTTTTTTTCTGGAGAAAATCTTATTTGTTTTATTTAGGCTAGAATAAAAACAGTTTTTAATTTTTTAATAACCATTTTAAGGACAAAATTGTTAGCCCCTTTAAGGTATATTTTGTTTTGATAATCTACAGAACATTGTTATACAAAAACTTGCAAAAGTGCGTTAAGCCAGTTAAGCCTTTAAATGTCACTTTAAGCTGTATAGAAGTGTCTTGGAAAAAATATCTAGTCAAAAATTATTTACCGTCATCATGGCAAAGATAAAATAAATCAGGTATTAGAAATGAGTTATTAAAACTATTATAATTAGAAAAGTATTTAAAAAAAATATTCTCTTTGTTAAACAAAAATTAGGGAAAAAAATAAACAGGGGGGGGGGGGGGGGGGGGGCTAATAATTCTGACTTCAACTGTATGTGCCTTTTAGCAGCCATTTAAGCACACAGATTGTGTAATTCTGTCAATGCAAGTTGTACATCACTGAAAAAGCAAATAATTAAAAATTAGGAAATGCCATAGCGGTTGAAATGCAAGTATTGGTACTTGTAGTATTTTTATTTCCACAAAAACTGGCATCATTACATTTATTTCTGTCTTTCTGAGTGAAAACTATCAGATTGTAAGCAATGTTTCATAATAAATTGCCAAACATAATGTATCTATACTCCAATGTGCTCTTACCATTACACTCAACTCCTTGTTCTGCAGTAAATGTCTTCTTTCCATTGTTGGGAGTGTAGCCAGTTCTACAGCTGCACACATAACCTCCTTGATTATTGGCACATTCTGCATTTGGACCACAATTATTGCTGGCATTTACACATTCATCAAGGTCTGAAAAGAGATGAACAGAGATTCAGATATTTGTTTCTGCAGCACAGATGTCACATGGAGTACATCACATCAAGTTGCCTTAATATTAATTCAGATTTAATTCAATTTAAGTTTATATTTAGTAATGTACAATCTTCACAAAGCTCCCTGAAAAAATACCCCACCAAGCACAGACTGTCATACTGTATGTTTATCAAGTACAGCTGAAAAAACTACCAAATTTATTCTATGGATGGTTCACATCAGTTTTAGGCTCCCTTTATATTTAAAAATAAATCAGATATAGGTGGAATATGTCATTTTTTTGTGAGTTATACAATGTGTGACTGAAAAAATGTGACAAAAGTGACAAATTATGTCCATTCCCTATTGTGTTTTCTTAACTTTCATTTTGCCGTAATCAATACATCTACTGATAACAGATTTCAGAAATAGGTCACTTTTAAAACCAATACGTAAGCTAGTCCTCAAAAACCTGCAATGTAAATGCAACCATAGATGACTGTTTTGAGGTATTATTCATTGAAAGCTGCTAAAAAAGTACATCAAATGAAAAATGTATATTTTTAAGAGATATTTTGAATCTATAAACCTTTCATGTAAAAATAGTAAATTGTCAAAGATTGCTATATTTTTAGTGTAAAATCTAGGTCATGAAACAAACCGATTTCAGAAACACTACAAAAAACGGTTTGTACCATCATACTGAATATCTAGTCCTACTGAAAATATTTTGTTTCCGCTGCTGGAAATGAAGCCAGATTTACATGTGCAATAGTAACCTCCTCCAGTATTCACACATGTTGCATTTGAGCCACAATCAGTTATTTCTTCCACACATTTATTGATGTCTGAAATGAGAAAAAGAGATTCAGATGCTGTTTCTGCTGCTGGTCAAGTGAAACCGCATGGATTCTGATATGTTTAGGTCAGTTTTATGCCCATCTATATTTAAAAAAAAAGCATTAATTGAATTTGTCATTTGTGTTTGATAAGTAGACCAGATATTTTCCTATCAATGTGGGTCGCATGTAGCTGAAAAAAGATTAATAATATCCATTCCACATTGCATTGTTTTTTAGCTTCTTTTCAGTCTAATCAGTACACCTACAGTTCACTTTTAAAAAGATTTAAGCTCGTCATCAAAGAAATCCTAAAGATATGTCAAGAAATTTAGCCATAGACTATAGGCAATTTAACATTTACAGATAGCATGTATTGAAAAATAATTGATAATTGATATAACTAATTTCAATAATAATATTAAACTAGGGTGAGGCAGTGGCACAGTAGGTAGTGCTGTCGCCTCACAGCAAGAAGGTCCTTGGGTCGCTGGATCGAACCTCGGCTCAGTTGGCGTTTCTGTGTGGAGTTTGCATGTTCTCCCTGCCTTCGTGTGGGTTTCCTCTGGGTGCTCCGGTTTCCCCCACAGTCCAAAGACATGCAGTACAGGTGAATTGGGTAGGCTAAATTGTCCGTAGTGTGTGTGTGTGTGGATGTTTCCCAGAGATAGGTTGCGGCTGGAAGGGCATCCGCTGCGTAAAAACTTGCTGGATAAGTTGGCGGTTCATTCCGCTGTGGCCACCCCGGTTTAATAAAAGGACTAAGCCGACAAGAAAATGAATGAATGAATATTAAAACTAATTAAAAATAGCCTACTAATACAATACATTATTATTAAAAATATTACAATAATTTTAAAGTTCAAGCCAAAAAGACTGGTTTGGTTCTGTTTAGGTACCGTTTAGGTTCAATTTTCTTGAGAGTGTTATTCAATGACTCGACCATAAATTTCCCCTCCTGTGTAGCACATATCAGTCATAACCCACCAAGACCTCAGCAAAATGTCTAATTGAATCCGACATGAAATGAACATGTGCCTTTTATCTGCCATGTAAACAGACAGAGTGTATAACCCCCATGTCAATGCAAGTCATCTGAAAAATAAGTAATAAATGATGCAGACATTAACCACCATCTCATGACTTCTTAATGGTGCTATGGAGGAGTTTGCACAGTGTAATGTAAATGTAAATACTTGTCATTTTTCAAATATGTACTCTTGTCATCTAAATAAATAAATAAAAAAAATAAATAGCTTTGTTACTATATTGTAATTTAAATTTTTTAGGATGGAGATAACACATTAAGTATCTAAAATCTGAAGAGTTAATGTGACTATATACAAGTATTTTTATTACAAATTATTAAAAATCAGGAAATGCAGCTCAGTGCAGTAGAAATGGCCAGCACAGGTATTGGTATCTGTAGGATTTTTTTATTTTTTTTTCGCACAAAAACTGGGATCATTACATTTATTTCTGTCTTTAAATCACAGATAGATAATAATACAAAATGTAAAGAGAAAATGATTGTGCTAAATCGCAAGCAATGTTACACAGTAAACTGCCAAACATAACTAAACTCTAATGTGCTCTTACCAACACACTGAACTCCTTGTCCAACAAGAAATGTTTCCTTTCCATTGCTGGGAGTGTAGCCAGTTCTACATATGCAGGCATAACCTCCTTGATTATTGACACATTCTGCATTTGGACCACAATTAATGCTGGTATTCACACATTCATTAAAGTCTGTAAAGAGATGAACAGAGATTCAGATGCTGTTTTTGTAGCACATACATTAAGTCACATACATCACATCAAGTTGCCTTAGTATTAATTCAGATTTACCGCCATTTAAGTTCATATTTAGTAAAGTAAATTTTTCACCGAAAAAAAAAAACCCTTCACTGAGCACAAACTGTCATATGTACATCAAGGACCACATGGATTCTATGAATGGTTCAAATCAGTTTTAGGGCCTAAACATATTTAGAAGTAAATCAAATATAGGTTGATTATGTCATTTGTATTTTTTAATATGTGACTGAAAAACAGTGACAAATGATTTCCATTCTGTATTGTGCTTTTTTTTTTTTCACTTTTCGCTGTAATCAATACATCTACTGATTTGCCAGTTACAGATATCCGAAATGGGTCACTTTTAAAAACAAGATGTAAGCTGGTCATCAAAATGCTGCAATTTAAATACAGCCATAGATGACTGTTTTGATTTCAAATGTCATTTTTTTTTTCAAATGTCACGGTTTGATTCACTGCTCAATGTAAAGTATGGGTCAAATCCAGTTAAGAAGCACTTGAAAAAACTACCAACTCACTGAACTCCTTGTCCTGCTAAAAAATGTCTTGTTTCCACTGCTAGAAATACAGCCAGATTTACATGTGCAATAACAACCTCCTTCAGTATTCAAACAATGTGCATCAGATTTACAATTAGCATTTTCATCCTCATTTATCAGTGTCTGAAATGAGATTGACAAATTCAGATACTGTTTCTGCTACTGGCAATGTGAAACCACATGGATTCTGGTATGTTTAGTTCAGGTTTAGGCCCATTAATTTTAAGAAATAATCAGGTATAAGTTGAATTTGTCATTTGTGTTCGGCAAGTAGACCAGATATTTCCCTGTCGATGTGGGTCGTATGTAACTGATAAAGGCATCATTGATTAATAATATCCATTATTGCATTGATTTTTTTTTAGCCCAATCAGTACACCTACAGTTAATTTTTAAAAAGAACATTTAAGCTGGTCATCAAAAAAATCATAAAGATATGTCAAGAAATGTAAATGTAGCCATAGACGATATAACAATTACAAATAACAGATATTAATCAATTATTTATAAAACTAACTTGGATAATACAACTAAAACCCATAAAATAAATACCTTTAAAACGCAACATTATTATTAACATAAAAATACATTTTTAATGTCCAAGCCGAAAAAGTCTGATTAGGACCATTTTTTTGTCGTTCAATGACCCGACTATAAATTTAATCTCACTTGTAGCATATATCAGTTATAATCCACCCAAGACCTCAATGAAATGTGCAATTGAATCTGATATGTCTGAAATGAACATGTGCCTGATCTGATATATCTGAAATGAACATGTGCCTTTTGTCTACCATGTAAACAGACAGATTGTTTAATCCAGTGTCAATGCAAGTCATACATCATTGAAAAAGCAACAGTGGGAAATGATGCAGACACAAACCACCATCTCACATTTCCTTAAGGGTACAAATGGAAAGTTTTGCATTGTGTAATGTAAATGCAAATACTTGTTGTTTTTAAGAGATGTACTCCTGTCATCTAAATAAATGACTTTGTTACTATATCATAACTTAAAATAGTCAGGATGCAGATGACAAATTAGGTATCAAAAATCTAAAGTGTTAATGTGACTATATACAAGTATTTTTATTACAAATTATTAAACATCAGGAAATGCAGCTCAGTGCAGTAGAAATGGCCAGCACAGGTATTGGTACAGTTCCTGTAGCATTTTTATGTACACCAAGCACAGCAGAAAAAAAACAACCACATGTATTCTATGGATGGTTCAGATCAGTTTTAGGCCTCGTTCATATTTATACATTAATCAGATATAGGTTGTATATGCCAATTTTGTTTGGTAAGAAGAAAGATCAAATGTTTCCCAGTTGTGAGTAGTGTGTAACTATAAAACAGTGAACTGTCAGATATACCTGCCGCTAAAAAGCAACAACCCTTCTGCTCAGCCTACATTACTGTCCTGCTTTCAAACTAAGGTCAAACTTTCAAACTATTCTTATTTACTTTAAATTAAATTACTCCAAGATTAAAGCTATAATTTTTAGCCTCTAAATCTGCTAAAACCATACCTGCCAACATTTGTCTATAAAAGTCCGGGAGACCGGGGCGGTGGGCTGTGAAATGGGTGTAAAATACGGGAGACTCCTGTGGAAAATGGGAGTGTTGGCAGGTAAAGCTAAAACAGAGATCAATACTTCTGTTTTAGGCAATTTGTCAGGTTTAAATTCAAGTTGTGTACACAATCTCGGTGTCCTTATCGACAATCACCATGCACTGGACAAACATCCTTCTTTGGTTGTTGTCTCAAGTTAACTCTCCAAAATAAAACACTTTTTGCCTAAAAAGTCTCTTGAGACAATTATGCACACTTTTATAACTTCACACTTGGATTGCTGTAATTCTCTACTGTATGACATCTCTAAATCCCAGGTAGCTTGACTTCAAGTGCTCCAGAATTCTGCTGCCAATTTCCTGGAAAACGGTCGCAAATAAGATAATGTCATTCTCATCCTACATTGGTTTTCTTGTTCCTTTCAGGATTGAGTTTATAATTCTTCTGTTTGTGTCCAAGTGCCTACACAATTTGGTGTGTAAATATCAGTTCTCCTGCATCCTTAACCTCCAGGAATCCTTAACCTCATTAATCCTTAACCTCCAGTAAGTTTAAGATCTTATAATCTTAAATTATTGAAAATTCCTACTTCAAGGCTGAAACTCTGAGGAAACGTTCGAGGTTACAGAAGTAACCCTTTGTTCCCCCAGGAGGGGAACGGAAGTGCTATAGGTGAATTTGATCTAGAAAACCCACGTATCGGAGGATTCGGTTCAGAAGCCGCGGGAGTATTGAACGGGACAATGAAAGCAATGAATTGGCAGCGTAAGCTTGCGCAGGTGTGCTCCATTGCCAATTATCCCAGCATATAAGCAAACACCATCCTTTTAAGCTGAAGAGACTTTTTAACAGCTAAGGAACAGTCATTATGGCGATGGAATATAGCACTTCCGTTCCCCTCCTCGGGGAACGAAGGGTTACTTCTGTAACCTCGAACGTTCCCCTTCGGTTGGGGAACTCCAGTGCTATAGGTGGATTTGATCTAGAAAATCCACGTATGGGAGAACTATGGCAAACACCATAATGACTGCACCTTACCAACGCCTCCGATGAGAAGGCAGTCAAGCAAGCATGACGTACCCAAATCATGGAAGGAGTGGGCCTCCAAAGTGCCTTGGCCCTAACTTATCCCTACTTCAAAGGAAGTTTTACGGTATAGGTATATTTTTTGGGAGTCGCTAGCGTCTAGATAATTCTAGGAATACAACAGCACGATGGGAAGCATGCAATCCTGGTAGGGAGGACGCTGCGGAGACCATCCGCACCCAATGGGGGAGACAAAATGGTAATTACATATGGACTAGCCCCAAGAAGGGGGAGTGCACATAAGAAGGTGGTTAGCGGATAGGGAAGGCACGGGTTCACCCAAGAGGGGGGGGGGGAGGCATTTGGAATTGCCAGTGGGGATCGCACATAGCCAGCACCTATACCCAAAACGCGGGCTGACCAGCGGGCAGACCTAACGTAGTGGGCCAGCAAGTGACTCCTCCGCTGAGTCAAAGCTGGGGGCCACGGAGGAATCTGCAGGGCTCACCGAACGGGGAACTTTACTGACAGATAGGAAGGTGAACATCTCTCCGTGTTAGGGAAAAAAGGCACCGCAAGCGTGTTACAACACCCCATCGAGTTGTTTTCTCAATCACCAAGGGTTACCTAATACCCTTTGAGGAAACCAGTTCTAATCGCAGATTGTAAAACCTTGCAAATGTGTTGGGTGTTGCCCAGCCCGCAGCTCTACAGATGTCTGTTAAAGAGGAGCCGCGTGCATGCGCCCAAGAGGATGCAATGCTCCAAGTGGAGTGTTCACGCACTCCCAGGGGACACGGCTCACCTCTGCTCAAATAAGCACATGAAATGGCCTCCACAATCCAGTGGGATAATCTTTGTTTGGTCATGGCACTTCCCTGCTGCCGACCACCGTAACAGACAAAGAGCTGCTCAGATGATCTAAAGTACTGGGTACGGTCCACATAGATGCACAGAGCGCGAACTGGACAGAGTAAGGAAAGGGCTGGGTCTGCCTCCTCTGGGGGCAGCGCTTGCAGGGTTACTACCTGGTCTCTAAAGGGAGTGGTAGAAACCTTGGGCACATAACGTGGGCGGGGTCTCAGGATAACGTGAGAAAAATCCGACCCGAATTCCAGGCACGAGTCACTGACCGAAAATGCCTCCAGGTCCCAGACCCTCTTAATGGAGGCCAACGAGACCAGCAGAGCTGTCTTCAGGGACAGAAATCTTAAGGATACTGATTCGAGTGGCTCAAAGGGATCTGTACGCAAGCTCGTGAGAACAAGGGCGAGATCCCAAGAGGGCATGACAGGGGGGGCGAGTTGGATTAATTCGCCTAGCGCCTCTGAGTAACCAGATGATGAGGTTGTGCTTTCCCACGGTGCCGCCAGCTACCGCATCATGATAAACAGAGATGGCAGCCACGTAAACCTTGAGAGTGGAGGGCGACAGCCTGCTCTCCAACTTCTCTTGAAGGAAAGAGAGCACAACACTGATCTGTCAAGTTCGGGGGTCTTCTCTACGAGAGACACACCATTCAGTGAATAGACTCCATTTCAGGGCGTAGGCGCGCCTCGTGGAGGGGGCTTTAGCCTGACTGATGGTATCAACTACCGCAGACGGTAGGTTACCTAAGTCTTCCTCGCGTCTAGGGACCACACGTGGAGGTTCCAGAGATCGGGGCGAGGGTGCCAGATGGTGCCATGTCCCCTGAGAGAGTAGGTCCTCTCTCAAAGGGATCTGCCAGGGGAGGGCCGTCGCGAGGAGGGAGAGCTCTGATATCCAGGTCTGGTTGGGCCAGAGGGGCG